CTCCTGATATAACATCAATGTTTATTTCAGTAATGATCTTGACGAGATCAACTATTAATCCAGGTCGATCTGCTGCCTCTACACACAGTAAGCTGCAAAACAGCAATGTTTTGCAATGTTTTACTATCGTCTTTCAAGTTAGGCACGCAATGACATCTTATGGCCAAGCTACTTGTTTATCAACATTAGTCTGAGAGCAACAACTATGACAATATTATTAAACGGACCTTCGTTCAGGACCATCATCATAGACATGGATATGAGTTGCTATGTCCACATCTAGCTGAAAATTGGCACAATAAACAACAAAACATAAATGATTAACATTAGACTTTTAAAATATTAAACTACTGATGTTTCTGCATCAATCATGTGCATTAGGTAGAGGCATTATTCTCAATTATTGAGCAAGCACTATACAAGCCTAAGTAGAATCTGCTGAAGATGCATCACTAATTTTATAATGTATTTCTTGAAGGGAACAAAGGATAATGAGACGTAAAAGCAAGAAGTTCCAAATAAAATACACAAAGAATAGGAAGATTGTTTAGCATGGCCGCACATGGAAAATTATGAAAAAGAAGAAGAAAGGATTTACAACCTTTTGACTTGGTTGAAAAGCACCAAAGGCTTCACCCATAGCTAACTGAGAGCTAGATTCCTGCACCAGAAATTATGCAGTAAGAAGAAGCAGGCAGCCATAAAAGACACCACAGAGGTACTCTTAACAAGTATCCACTGTGTGATGGCTGAAATTGCAGTGCTACCGGATGAAACTCCATCAAATTGTTGATAATTGTCAATCGAATTGCTTCTAGCAGCTCTGGATCCTCAACCTTTCTACCTGTAGAACTGAAAAAATCCCCGATAACAGAACAATCAGAATTCCCAGATATAATTAGATCAAGAAATGACATAAGAGCATAAAGGAATCCGACATGACTTACGCATGTGTGATGCATAATTTATTGTGCTTCCCTGATGAATCTAGATAGACATTAGCCTTGACAACATTCAGTCCAAGATTTTTTAGTGCAGTCATCTGTAAACACATTCAGTAAAAGTTAGGCAGTACTAGAGAAAGATGTTCTGCCTAATCGACTCCAGAATTTCCAGCAATAGCATTGACTTGAATCAATAGGAGATGAATCCTACTGTGTCAAGAAGAGCCCCAAGGCGATCACCAAAGGTAACCTCCACTACAGTTGTTTCTGGATCCGAATCCAAATCTATTATGACTTTGGGCGTTGGGACAGCAGTATCTTGGGAACTTCCACCCTGATTACCAGTCCCATCAATCAAAAACAAAATATTTAGTAAACAAAAACAAGGGGAAAAAGTTATTTCAATGAATTAAAGTATGCAATTAGATACCTCAACAGCTGCAGTTGAAGATGCTTTTGGAATAATTGTACTCTCAGAAAAAGCTAATCTGAAAGAGCACAACATGTAGATTATATTCCCGGTCGAAGCAACACAAAGCACTTAAATTCCAGGATAAAGTAAATTTATGAACTTTAAGAAAGTGGGATGATGCTCCAGTCATTATCATTTTGCAAATTTTCCACTACTAAACGCTCTACCAATCCATGATTATTTCCTTTGTATCGCGATTTTAATCAACAATTCTTTATTAGATTTGGAATTTTATTTCACTACCTGTTTTCAGAGATCAAGACAAAAACTTCAATACTGCTAAAAGAGAAAACAAAAATTCTGAAATGAAGATTTCATAACAGATAGCCATCAAATTAACCCGAAACCTTGGGAAGTACTTAGAGGATTAAATTCCTTAAAGGACACACAGTGCAATCTGTGGGCTCGGAATTAATTTTTAATTATCTGTCTAACCATTACAGTATCTTCTTTTAATAATTCTGGTTAGGGATACAGAAAGTTAACATCAAAAAGATTAAAAGAAACAAATTTTAAAAAAATACATTGGGGATAGGGGAAAGGGAAATGATCGAAATAGTCAATCAATTAAGCTACTAAAATTTCGACATAAAAATCAATCAACTTGTAGAAGATGGAGATTTTCTTTGTTGGGTCTGCAACTAGTCAAACAAACTCAAGATTACCTCTTGGGAACAAGGCATATTCTCTGTACAGGATCCAAACCAAAAGAACCTCTGAAGAGAACTGAACTTGAAATGGGTATTTTCTCAATTGCATTTAAATTAGTATAAACCCCAGAAATGCTCCCACAAGAAGCCATAGCCACAGCCATATCAGTTCAAGAATATTGAAAAATTGAACAAAAGCTGTATAAAAGGAAAAAAAGTTTGCGTCTTTTTCACTTAGTGAAATAGTATACTAGTAAAGGAAGTAACCAAAGAGAATCACGGAAATGGAAAGATAAGAAAAGACGCAAATTTTAAGAGAAGAAGAAGCAATAGTGTTGATTGTTCTTCTAGTAGTATCCGCCATTATAATGGAAGGTGTCCTCTTTATAATATACGTAAAAAGGTATAAAATTATGGGCCTTGTTTGTCTTTGTTGATGAAAGCTGAGCCTTAGAAATTTACTTCAATTTTATCTCATCCTTTTCTCACTTTGCAGTGTTGTGAAGCTGTGATTGTATTGAGAGAGACAAGCCAAAGAACCAATGGGCAAGATATGAATGATCCTCAAAGCTACTTCCTCATCTTTTTTACTTATTCCTTTTTATTATATAAAAAATAAAAATTACCACCTCACATTTTATTTTATTTGAAAAATCTATAAAGTTATGCCGTTCATAAATTATAACAAAATTAATTTTATATGTACATATAAAAAATATAATAACATATTTAATGTAATTTTACAATTGAAAATTGAAGCACGTAAGAAACACATACATTACATTAATCATGTTGATAGACTTTAAAGAGAAAATTTAATGCACTAAAATTATCATTATAAACAAGATCCGAAAAAGAAATGATAATAAGAATTTATTTTATAAATTTTACAGTATATTTTCGATAGACTCTAAAGAATATTTTTTTCAAATTGCAATTACAAAAAGTTAAAATAATGACAAGGAAAATTGTAAAAATAATATTATTAATTTTAGTTATAAAATAATTTTAAATTACCTCCTCCTCAACTAATGATAGAGACACTATTGGCTAGCATAAATGGGACCTTCATTATCTTCTCCTATGACGTGTTCCATTTTTAATTAATATTCTCTCTTTTTCTCTTTCTGGCAATGTGACTGAATGTTGAAAGAGCGCGTGCTGAAATATCAATATCTTCTCCCTCTCCGATTTTAGGCATAATATATAGATGTGCCTTTTTAAAATTATATTTATGCTCTTCAACTTTGGATATACACAAATAGACACTTAAACTTGTAAAAAGTTGAACAAATAAACAGATATGTCCTAAATGTCATCTTACATATTATTTTTTGTCCTACGTGGTGTCCTACATGTATTGTGTCATGTAGGACTGATTTGTTTATTTATTTAAAAGTTGAATAGTTAAAGTGTCTGTTTGTGTATTGTGAAAGTTGGAGATCAAATTAAAATTTGAAATCAAATTTAGAATCTAATATGCGTCAAACATACGGATATTTAAATTATTTATAAAGATATCATAAATTATAAAGTAAAATACTAAAATAAAATATATTGAAAATAAATTATGAACATCTGACACGTGATATATCTCTTTATAATAAAATAATTTTTGATTAATTCATTCAAAAATATCATGATTAATAAACGGTCTTGAAGGCTATCGAAATATGAATGATGATGATAGATTGTGACGGTTTCATAGTTGTAACATTTTGGTTCATAGGCTTATTAGTAACTAGTTTTTTTATTTTAGACATTTTTTTTTATCATAGCACCCTTTCTAGAAAGTGGTTATAAGAGTAGGTGTATTTGTTATTTGTGTTTGTTGGTTATGATAATATTTGAATTAGTTATCAAATAAAAAAATATCCTGTGAATTGAATAACTAAAAAAATATATCTAAAGTTTAAAATATGTAATTCGAATTACAAAAGGATTCATGAAGTTTATACAGTTTCCTTCTCAAATTAGCAAGTTTTCTTGGAGTTTCATTTCCACCGTTTCAAACTCTAATATTATATCTGTTCTATTAAATTTTAAGAGTCACTATAGATTTTAAGGAGAAATTAGTTAAATACACATCTTATTTTATCATAATTTCTAAATTTTATACTATCAGTTTTAGAAAAATAAAAAATTCTCTCTTAAATGTTCTCTCTCTGATATATTCATATCCCATGCATATACATTCCTTTTATGTAATATTGTATCACTCGCAATCCATGGGCTTATATGTTCGCAGATTTCTATTATTAATTACTTTGATTAATTTACTTTAGATATTTTTTCTTGTAAATTGACATCATTTTTCTCTTCAACTTTGTAATCACTTACCAATCTATAAGGTTTCTAACGCCCTACATTGAATAATATTTGCTTGCAATGCATTTCTTTTAATATAGATTTGTAAATTCTTGCTAATATATGACAATTCTCCTCTTTTGCCATTATTATTATTTATTTAATTCTTGCACTCATGAATTCATATAATTAATTATAATTTAACGAGCTATATTAGCTAATATTTGTGTTTTTCTTATTAAAAGCTTGTGTTATGATTTTAAGAGAACATCTTAATTAGATTATTATAAAATAATAATTTTCTATCAAATTAGTTGTTTAGAGGACTATGATTTGTGACAATGATAAAGACATAATTTTGAAATTAATAAGTATGTTTATTTAATATTATTGAATTGTCTTATAGTTTTTAGAATTTATAACTATAAATCATATTTTGAAAATTTTCAAGTCAATCCTTCCCTTATTCAAATCCATATTTTAAAAATACTTTAAAATTATGATTGCATCTCAAATTAAGGCTAAACATTAAAAAGGGGACCCAAAAAAAGTGGCCAAACTGCTGAATTATCTCCTCGTTTACCTAGTAAAGCCCAGGTACTATATACGGCCCAATTAGAAAATTTCACAAAGTATTCAGAGACCCGACCCGACCCTCCCAACCCCCGCCCCATTGTTGACTGGAAACATCCAAAAGAGCGGAGGAGGAGGGGTTTTTGAAGAAGAAGAAGAAGAGACTAATCGAAGAAATGGCGAAGTCCTGTAAGGGCCTTGCTGTGGAGTTGGTCAAGTGTCTTAGCGAATCGGATTGCGTTAAGGTATCCTTTCTTTAACTTTTCTCGTTGATTTGTTTACTTAAATTTCTGAAATCGAAAGAGCCATGTGGTTTGATTCTTCTAGGTTGAGAAGAAGAGTTTCAGGGAATGCGCGAAAGAAAAGAGTCCATGTATTCCTAGTGAATGTGTAGGACTAAGGGAAACCTACTTCACTTGCAAGAGAGGACAGGTATACTTTATCAAAATTTGCTATATGTTTTACATCTTTTTACCTGCTCTTCATGTATTCGAGTGGTTCGATGAACTTGTCTTGTATAGCTTGCCTGCTTCTGCACTATTAAATTTGTGAAGAGTTAGTTATTTGCTCATTGCTTAATGCAATTAGTTTCTCTAGTTTGATCTTTGGAAATGGTTATTCTTGTGGAAAGTTACGAGGTGTGGCTGGAAATATGGTGTATTATCGAGAGAAGAATATAAAGAGGTGGCTAGAGAGGATTCATATTGCCAACTACAATTATTGTGTGATTGAAGCATAATTGAGTATGATCAATTGATGATTATTGGATATATTTTAACAAATAGATCCCTCCCATCAATTACTCCTGTTAGGTCTTTTGAAAAATTTACCCTACTGGTCAGATTTCATCCTTCGCCTAGCTTTTCCTGTATATTAAACCAGAGGAATTTTGCAGATAGTCCTTGTATCATACCTTGATCTTTGGTGGGGTGGCAGTAGGTGAAACACGTTTTTGCAAATAGTAAATAGAGAACTATTGAGAACTGAGAAGTGTATGGAGAATGTTTTCCTTCGGCAAAAACTCGACACAATTTTGGAACGAGCCAAGATGGGAAGTAGGTCACATAAATAGGAACACAAAGTGAGGAGAAACATTCTGTCTCAAGAGAGCGAACGTCATTGTTGTGTAGCACAAAGTAAATATCAAGAGGTTCATTGCTGTGTAGCACAAATTTAAAATCACGTGGTTAAATTTGAAATGGAAGGGATATTTGTGATGTTTGACTCTGGTATGGATAATGCATCCTTTGAAGTAGACAGGAGTGTTCCACTTTGTTATGATTGATAGGATAAGCTAGTTAGTTTGTTGATTATTCCTCAAAAGATTTTTCTTCTGAAAGTTCCATGATTGGAGAAATCCAAGAATTAATCTGAGCACCTTGTGGGGGTACTCTTATGGAAAGTGCTTCCAAGTGGCACCTTGATGGTATTCCTCTGTTCCTGTAAGTTGGTCGAAACCACTTTGATATTGTCCTCCTGGGTGATCTCTTTTTTTTTTCAAGCAATAAGGTTTATTATTATTAGTCTTTTCAATCACATGATAATTTTAAAACTGAATTTTGTTTTCTAAATATAATTTTGTGGGACGATGATAATTGCTATACTGATAGCTTTGTAAGACAATCCTTTGTCCCATATTTTCCTTTTTTGTGTGCGGTGGGCGGATTAGGCCAATTTAAACTACTTACTATCACTTAAAATACGCTTGCTTGGAAAACCAAAGAGTTGGAGTTTGAATGTAGTAGTTGGATTTTTCAGGCTCAATGCTTTCTGCATATGCGAGTAGTGATTTGATAGGGGAAATATTAACCAGATAAAATGTCAAATCACTGTCCCTGAACACATTGGTTTAAGAAGTAGGGAGCATGGCTAGTGAATAACAAAATATAAGGATTATCTCAGTAACCTATAACCTTCTATAGATCCTTGATGTAAAAAATCTAAGACAGAGAGAATAGTAACTGGTAAATTTCAGGTTATGTGGCTTGATTTAATCTGAACTTGAATTCTGGAAATGATTTCATGTTCCTCATATTTCAGTTCATTCTTCAACCTAATTCCATCAGATTCAGGATGTCAATGATGTTACATCAATCCCAACAGCTGTGTTGTTTGTGTCTTTTAGCTTTTGACCTGAATACAAGGTCTTCTGCTATCCCTGCCATTTTCTCGTGATATTTTAGTGATAATCACTTTTAAAGTGGTGCCTATAACCATCCTTAAATTTTTTTGTACAAACCGGTGATTAGGTATTGGACAACCAACATACCAGATGAGAATAAATCATTATGTATTTATCAAATTGAATAGTTCACTTATGTGAAGTTCCAAATCTAGTGCAGATATGCTAATGTTTGTTATACTGGCAATTTTTTACTTCATTTTTGCCGTTTGAAGTGTCCTCCAGAAACAGCCTCTCTATCTCTATGAGGTAGGGGTAAGGTTTGCGTACACTCTACCCTCCCTAGACCCCACTTGTGGTATTTCACTGTTTATGTTGTTATTTGCTGTTAGATTTGTACTGCTTTGCACTGTTTGCAAGAGAGAGATCATTGTGATTAGTTTATGAATTCTGATTTTGGTGTTGTGGACGTGAATGCTATAATTTTTTTTCTTGGCCTTGGTGGTATCTCATGGATTTGTTTAGTTGTCTAAACTATAAAGCATTGTGTCTCTGTTGAGGAAGGGTGTCAGATAGTGACGAATTTTAGATTCTTCTTCTTAGTTAATACTGGATTTTGTTCATATAACATTCTTGTATTGACTTATCAGAAGTAAAACTAAATAGAGCTTTATTATGATGGAGGATCTGATATGACACGTGATTGTTTAAGTTAATAATGCATGTGAAGTTGTGAACCATAAATACTTGTGATAAGTTTACATGCTTCTTCTCAGCCTGATCCAACATACCCTTTTTGCACTGTGATATTGACATGCATCTTCATCCTATCAACACTCCCTCTGACCAACTGTTGTCTCTTTCAGCTGGACATGAGAGCTCGAATTCGTGGAAATAAAGGCTATTAATTGGTAGGACTGGCGCAAATTCCACACATGAGAAGTACGATATTTTCCAGACTGGACTGCATGTGACAAATTGCAATCTACAATTTTCTCAACAACAGTGTCGCACGTATACAAGTTTCTTGGACATTTTACTTGACAAACTTTGTACCTGTTGCTTCGGCCCCTTCTTAATTTTGAATACCGTTGATATTGGATGTGAAATTGTGGAAGAGGGTTTAGCTCTCATTTTTCGTCATGAATGATTAATTTGTTTTACGTATCACTGATGTGCGATGCTGGAGAGACTATTTGTTTATCTATTTTTTAGCATAGCTCTTGGTGGGATTATTTGTCCTCAATTGAATAAAATCCTCTTTGAATTTATTTTTTCCCTCTTCTTTTTCAAGCATAGGTGCTGAGACTCAATGAAAGTTAGTCTAACAAATGGAGTTAAATGTGTTCGTAGAGTACTCTTTATATCGAATTTTCAGAAAGAAAAAGAATGTAGTGAAGGATAAACGTATACATATACTATTGAATGCTATATCAAATTATTCATGACGACCCAAATTCATAGTTTTTCTATAAAAAATCAAAGAATCGGTGTGAATCACTGGAAGAGTCATCTAATGGGTATATTTAAACCCAAATATGACCATTAAAATACTCGAAGTACCCAATTTCAAACAAATGTTTACCATATTTTCTTACTCCCAGTTTTTAGTTTATATCTTTTAGTACTGTAATATGATTTTAAATATATAATATTTATTTTTCTAAAATGAAAGTTATTGCTCCCTTTGTCTACTTCTGTTAGTTGTTTTTCTAAAAGTTAAATTGACTAGTTTTCTAAGTTAAATTAAATTATATTAATTTAATATTTTAAATAAAAAATTAAATATTCAAAAACTATTCAAAATATAGCATACTATACTCTTTTTTTTTTTTTTGCGTATCAATAGAATAAGAAAAACGTAAAAACTTATTATTTGACTTTAATATAGAAAATATGACTAAAGATGTGGAGGGAGGGAGTATAAAAATGAACAAATTTAACTTCCATTTTAGAAAGAAAACGGAATGACAGTGTAGTGTGGTTCATTAGCAGTTATCATTGCGCTCAGTAGAGAACCATTCAACTTCACATACAACACAAAAACAACGACGCTGGAAGAATCAGGATTGCCGGAAGAAGCGTCCGTGGATCACCAGTCCGGTACCGGAAAGTCCATTACGCCTTCATCGATGATGGCAGATAATGCCGCAACTTCAAGTGCCAATCTCCGCAAACTCTCCGACTCCCTCTTAGCCTTGCAATGCTGCTTAACCGAGTTAAACCAACATATCAATTCCGTTCGGTCTATAATTCCCTCTGTGATACCCGGAGTTGCGACTAATATCAGTACTCTTTTACCCACCTCATCACCGCCAGCCACAGAACCACTCCTAAAGTCAGAATCATCTTGGGAATCTGACCCCTCTGAAGAAGAAGAAGAAGAAAAAGAAGAAAAAGAAGAAGAAGAAAAAGAAGAAAAAGAAAAAAAAGAAGAAGAAGAACTGCGATCCCGTCGTAGCGAAGAAGTGCAATCACCTCATCGTTCAGAACTGAAATTCCCTCATAGTTCGGAGCTGAAATCTAGTCGTAGCAAAGAAGTGCAATTCCCTCATCGGTCAGAACTGGAAAGCTTCTGCAAATCAATGAATAGTAGTGAACTTCGGAGGTACATGGTGACGCGAGTCTCAGATACAAATAGACTGCTCGAAGAAGTCCCTAAGGCATTGAGGCTCTCGCCCCATCCGGCAAGGCTTGTACTGGACTCTACGGGGAAAATTTATTTTCAGGGGAGTAACTCTTATACTAAAAATTCACGCATGGTCTGGAGAAGGAAGGCTGCTGTATTAGTTTTAGAGTGCTTCTTATTGATGAGAGTTGACAAAGTTGAGATTGAGAAAGAGGTGAAAGAAGAAGCTGATAAGGCAGCTTTAGCATGGCGAAAGAGGATGATTGCGGAAGGAGGTGTAAGAAAGGCTTGTGAAATGGATGCGCGGGGTTTGCTATTGCTTCTGGGATGTTTTGGGATTCCAGGAGGATTCAGCAATGAGAATATCAGGGATTTGCTTCTCATAAGTCACATCACCAAGATTTATCGTGCACTCAGGAGATCAAATGTCCTCAAGGCTAAGATTCCAGGTATGTTCTTCATCAATTCAATTTGTCTATAAGTTACATTTGCATCGAACGTCCTCTAACTAGTCTGATTGAAACAAAGTTACCTAGAAGCAACTAATAAGTTTTGGGGTTGTTCTAATATACTCCCTCTCTCCCAATTTATGTACACAGTTAGAATTTCAAGATTCAAAATTCTGAATCTTGATGTGAATTTGGACATAGAAGCTTTAAGTTTCTTGAAATAAAATTTGTATATATCTGGAAACTACACAGAAAGTACTATAAATCATAATAATTTAAAAGGCATATAAAGAACCAACAAAAAATTGGTTGTCTCTCGAAATTCAACTGTGCCACAGAAATTGTGAGGAGGGAGTACTTATCAAACAAACAAAAAAAATCCTTTCCCTTTTATTTACTAGTGTCTTGCACTATTTATGTTGCTTCTCAATAGCTTCAAAGGGATTTTGTCCTTTCGTTCATCACGCCCCAAACACACATGAAGAGCTCTCACCCTATTCATTTATCCAACCTGAGATGACAATTTTTATTTTATTTGGTAGCACCTCTTAGATTTTCACAAATAGTTGTCTGAGCATCAGAATTCCCATCTGCTAGTGCTTTTGGACCATACCTTAGGTCTTTGAGGACAACAGCTTCCCAGATTTTCTATGGTCCTCCTACTGTTGTCCCTTAATGAATCATGATTATAAATTTTTGTATAAGAACATAGCTGTAATGAAATTGCAGCATTATAATCATATATTTCCTTGCTAAGATCTCATGCATATAACTTTTTACGATGAAATATTTTTCTTGGTTGAGAAATGGTATAGTTGTAATGAAATTGCAGCATTAAGGAAGTACTGAAATTATGAACTATGTACAAGCGAGCAGAAAAATATAAGGGATGTCCCTTTCTAATCTTGCGGTGACTCGAATAGTAGTACTATATTGAGCTGTTGCTAGTTGACCAGACGGATCATGCTTATAAAGTTTGTGATCCTGGATGATCTAATGCTCATTTTTTTGGTGGTTCAGATGCATTTCTTGGTAAGTATTAGAAGCTACTCAACCAATTGAACTAATTTCAAAGTCTGTACACAGTTTCTTGTTGTTTCTTCATTTGCTTCATTTGTGTCGCTTGATATATATTAGAAGCCACTCAACCAATTGAGCTAATTTCAATGAATTTAAAAGTATGACCTCACTTTTTTCTGATCTAAACAAGTAAAAGAAGTTTGTATAACACTAGTAGTTGTTTATTAGTGCAAATAAGTGCTTATATGTGAACATGACTGGTTTATAGGCCAAATCACAATCTGGTCGTGTTAAAAATTGTTAATATCAAGCCATGGGTGGAGGACCATGCTAATTCTACTTGAGACTCGGTGACACAGATACAGAATGGAGGTATATTCAATGTCTGAATTCGAATGACCAAAATTTAAAGTATTTGTTGAACTCTCAGCATCATTATTGGAGAGATAAATGAACTAAGCTTTTTGAATGATTAAAATAAAAAAAACGACATGGACAGGATCAAGCAGTCAGCATTGGGGTAACTTCTCAATTTAGGTAATCTTGAAGTTCAATTCAAGGACCTTTTTCAACCTTGTATCTGCTTGGAAGTTACAAATCTCCTTTCAATGTTTGTTTTCATTGTTTGTTGTTTCAGAGATGAAGCCTTACTATGTCATCTATCTCTAATATGATTCATTTTGCATATAATCATACCTTCTCTTTATCCCAAGTATTGCATCTGACCTTGTCGCGTAGTTACTGTTATTTTTTCTGCCTGCTTAACACTGGTTTGTGTAAATTTGTAACAGAAATAATTGAAGGGATGGTGAAGAAAAATTTGGAAGTTGATGCTGTTCATATTGCCTACACTTTTCGAATTGACAGGTTTAATCCTCGGAGACTTTTGACATCATTTTTACTGAATTCCAGAGAGTCATTGAAGAAAAGGAACGAAAAATCAGAAGGTTCACTTGCTGCTGTGGTAATTCTTCAATTTCATTCCAGCACTGATAGGCCCCCCTCTCTGATTTCTCTCACGGTCTCCTCAAGTTAACCATGCATTTTGTTATGTTGTACAGAATGAAGCAAAAAGGAAACATTTGAATGATCTGACATCTGTCATCAAATGTTTGAAATGCCACGATATTGATCCTTCAAAACTTCTTCCCGAGTGGAAAATCAATGAGAAAATAATGGCCCTGGAGAAAGAAATTCGTGGATTTGATAAGCATGCGGAACGAAAGAGAAAAAGTGATGAAACTGAGTCGTCGAGAGGGTTCAGAAATAGAGAAGCAAAACGCTCATATAATCCGCCATGGGTAAGACAGCAAAGATTTGATGATCATGTCGATAACAATAACACCTTGCCAGAAGGTCGAACTACTGGCCATCTTCATGGTTATACTGTGTCCTCAACAGTATTGCATGGGCCTTCTGCAGGCTTAATACATGAGAATATTGCAGGCTCACTTGTAGGAACTGTGGGAGGTGTGGCCATGGGTGTAGCTGGAGCAGGTATATCACCTAGTGGCAATGGTATTCATGCAGGTATATCAGCAGGCACAGATGTTGTTCAGCAAGGAGGTCCATATGCTGGAGGTCATGGAGGGACTCTAGTTGATAGTACGCCAGGACAAGTAGGGAGTCATACTGATCAGTTATATGATCGGAGCGGGAATGCAGCCGTGAATGATAGTCTGGCCTCATGCAGCAATGCTTATGTGCCATCATCGTACTTGGATGGCTCTAAGGGGTTGCCGAACACCACGCATACTGATGCTTATAGGTCACCACCATACTCAGAATGTTCTACAAGATTGCCAAACGCCATATCCGGTGATGCTGCTGGCCGGAGTTCTGCATCTGATATCTACCAGGTTGCTGATACTGACACAGCAAGTGAATTACACATGAGCAGTGGCGTACGAGCAGTTGATACTGTTTCATCTGCTGCGTCTGCTCATCCTTCATCCAACTTGCACCAGCCGAAATAGATTTACCTTGGGCAGTCACTACACCTTAGTTTTTTTGTCTGTAAACCCAACCTTAGAAGTGACTACTATATGGTCTGTTAAGGCAGTCTCAGAATTGTGAATATTAGTTACTAAAAACTCTGGCCAATTGTGTAGGCTTAGCATATTAATGTCTATAATCTACCAGGAAAAAATTAATTTCTCTGGTATATAAAACCTTCCTTTTGTACTCCATTCCGTTAAAACTTGTATTGTATTTGCTTTTATGATTTACCACTCAAAATGCTATATTTTCTTATTTGGAGTTGAAGATGGGAAGGGAAGCACCCAATAATTTACTTACCAACTGCGTATTGAGCTGTTGGATCTTATTTTTTTATTTGCAGAAGCTGAAGAACAGGCTAATAAACGAACTTGTGAATTATGTGTTTTATGGCTAAACTTCAGTTGCAATAATTGTTGTTACACATTGCTTTTTAACATAATTATATTTTAAATATCTCATAGGATGTAAATGTATATTTTTTATAGTACCGGAGATAAATATTTAGTTTTATTAAAATATAGAGATAATTTTCGAAATTGAGTCAAGTTAGCATGAGGTTAACTGTAATTAAGTAATTAACCCTAATTGATTTTCACTCCGGAAAAAACCCAAATAAAAGAAATATAAAATTCATAGAGAATTGCAAGAAAAAGGTTTCTCATTTTTCTCCTTTGTGTCAATTCTGTACGTTTCGACATGGTTGAACCAGCCGATGCTGCCACCGCTGCGCCGTCTCCATCACGGCCATTGCCGGCGGTAGAAGCTCAATCGCAACTCATAGAAACAGTAAATGCTCTGCAAAACATCACCAAACAGTCTGAATTTCTGCAGCCACCAATAAATGACGACTCAATTGCCAAATTCAGCAAACTCTCGGATGCTTTCTCCGCATTCCAGGTCTGCTTTGCTGAGTTACACCGACACGTTGTTTCCATCGGGACTTTAATCGACTCTATGCGACCCCTGGATACAACTAGTACTACCCCCTTATCTGTATCCTCACTTCCCGCAGCCGCAGCCCCAGGACCAGAACCGGCAATGGAATTCGGTCCCTCTGAAGAAGAAAAAGTGGAAGTGAAATCCCCTTGTTTAGAGCTAAAATCTACTCGTTCAGAGCTAGAAAGCATCTGTAAAAGGGTGGACGGTCGTGGTCTGCGGAAGTACATGATAACGCATATCTCAGATATAAATGTACTGCTTGAGGAAGTCCCTAAGGCATTGAAACTCTCGCGCAATCCGGCAAGACTTGTATTGGATTGTGTTGGGAAGTTTTATTTGCAAGGGAGCAGGGCATATGTTAAGGGTTCACCCGTGGTCAATGGAAGGAAGGCTTCTATATTGGTTTTGGATTGCTTCTTGTTGATGGGAATCGACGAGGGAGTTGAGATTGAGAAAGAGGTGAAAGAAGAGGCGGAGAAGGCAGCTTTAGCATGGAGAAAGAGGTTGATTGCTGAAGGAGGTTTACGAAAGGTGTATGATATGGATGCCCGGGGTTTGCTATTGCTTATTGGGTGTTTCGGGATTCCAGGAGCATTCAGTAATGAGGATATCAGGGATTTATTTCTGGCAAGTCCGTTCAAGAAGAATATTTCTTGTTCCCTCACAAGATCAAATGTCTTCATGGCAAAGATTACAGGTCCTATTTTCATGAATTCAATTTGTCTGTAAGCTACGTTTGCATAAATTGTCATTTGCTATTCATGTGAGATGGCGTGCTTTTAGTAAGTTGGTATCTTTTAATTAGTCTGATTGAACAAGATCACTGATACAAGTGGTTTGATTTGGTTGTATTGCTGTAGATAGAACTTCCCTAACTTAGGATAACTTTTAAAAATGCAAATAATTTTGACACTATGATGGACTTTACTCCTTGCATACTTGAAGGGACAACAAATTTGCTCACAGTTTGGAGACCATCAGTACTTGCTTGGTGTGTTATTCTGTAAAAAATATACTCACCAAACTTAGAACTTTCCCTTCCTATTTGTTTACTGGTGTCTTGCACCTGTCCTTCCCTTTTTATTCATCTCATTAGATTCAAGGCTTTTCTCTTACCCTTATCATACCCAAAAGACATCAGGAGCTCCCACCCTTCCCATTATCCAAATTGAGATGACAATATTTATTTGGTGGTACCTAGGAACTGGACTAACACCAACCTCTGAAATTTTCACAAACTGTTGCTTGTGCATCAGAATCCCCATCCTCTATTACTTTTGGTCCATACATAGGTCTTTGAGGATTACAACTTCCCAGATTCTTTAAGATCTTTCTTGTGCACGGTGCACAATGAATCATAATCCATGGTAATGATTATATTTTTGTATAGGAAGTATGATTCTTTTAGTGCATATCTTTCCTGGCTAAGATCTCGTGCATAGGACCTTTGAAGAAAAACTTCTTTTTGGAGAAATACTAGTTCTATTGAAATTGCAGCACTAAGAAAAAAGCCAAAATATGTACAAGTGAGCGAAAAAACATAAGAAATCCTTTCTATTCTTGCAGGATTATAAAGCTTTTTAAAAAGAACTTCTGTGTAACCTTTATGAAATTAATGGCACTTGAAAACTTCCGCAGAATATGCCCACATGCATGATGAAAGTCTTTCCTTGTAGTTGTAATCCAACTTCCCTCCTCTTACTACTACTCAATAGGAAACTTATACTAGTTACTCAAAAATCATGCTGCTCAAACAACACTGATTTTTTTAGTCCCTTGTCTCTGATAAGCTTTGTTAACTATAAATACCTTTTTGTTGTTACTCCATCATAATATACTTCCCAAATCTAAAGCCCATTAAAGTGTGTTAAGAAATTCATCAACTCTCATAATTTCCTTTCATTTAGCTGCCTCCTAAAGGCAATGTTCCACCTCAGTGGTGTTCATAACTTTGGTATGGATCTTTGTTGGAACAAAGTTAGATTGAAAATATATGGGAGTAAAGCTTCCAAATTGCTTTTTTCATGTCATTCATTCTTCAAAAACTTGGTCTTTCTTCCAATCACCACTTTTTGAAGAATGAATGACATGAAAAAAGCAATTTGGAAGCTTTACTCCCATATATTTTCAATCTAGCTTTGTTCCAACAAAGATCCAAAGCTATAGACACCACAGAGGAGGAACATTGCTTTTAGGAGGCAACTAAATGACAGGAAATTATGAGAGTTGATGAATTACTTAACACACTTTACACCTTTAATGGGCTTTAGATTGGGGAAGATATATTATGATGGAGTAGTAACAATAAAAGGGTGTTTATAGTTAACAAAGCTTACCGGAGATAGACCAACCTAGTAATCATAATCTAATTTGACCTTGGAAATAAATTTGGAAAAATATTACACCTTACACAATATCTTGTTTCATCTTGTTATTAGCCAAAGAAGTAGCTTTGACTCAGGACAATGTGATGAAGAGAGGGATAACCTTATGCTCAATATGTTTTCTTTGTAAGGAAACATATGAGACATTGAACCAATAGTTTATACACTGCACTTACACTCTGAAGCTATGGAGAATATTTCTAAGTCTCAAAGGCATCTCTTGGACCATGCCCAAGAAAGGCTCTGAAGAGTGGGGAGGAAGCAAGAGTACATGCTAAAAGCAGAGATAGATAGAGAATTATTTATGATAGTCAACCTGGAAAGAGAGGAATTCTAGGTGTTTTGAGAGCAGAGAGAATAATGTGCAGAAGGTTAAAATAATCTTATATCCGACTATATGTTCATCACCACAATGGGTGGTCGCTACATTCGGAGCATATGAAGTATCATAAAATATATACATATACAATAAGTTTAACTTAATCCTACATCTTTTATACAAAATAAGTATATTAATAAAATGGTCTTAAAACCTATCAAATTTAAATCTTATATTCGACTAATAATGTACATCATTACAATTACTAAGTACCAAGTATAAGTGCAAAATTGTCTTTTAAACTAACCTTAAAAATATTTCCATGTAAAGTATAAATATATCTTACATGCCATTTTATCATTCTATTCATAATTATTTTCAATGTTTTCCTATTTTGGGAAAAAGATTAATAGTATTATCATTGAGCACCTAAGGGTATGATCTAGTAGTTGATGAAGTGGTTGAAAACCATGAGGTCTCAGGTTCAAATCCCAGTGGAGACAAAAATACACTAGGTGGTGTTTTCCATCTGTCCTAGGCTCCTAGCCTTGGTGGACAAAGTTACCTGACACTTATTGCTGGTGGGAGGTGATATATATCCCGTCAAATTACTTAGAGGTGCGAGAAATCTGGTTCAAACACTAGTCACAGAAATAAAAATAAAAATAGTTACCATTGATTACATCAATTTTATAACCAGAGGCGAATCTAGGATTTAAGAACATGAATGCACCACCGAAAGAAAGATGGAAAAAAATGCATCAAGTGAGAATCGATTTGTAGTCCTCTTGGTAAGTAACTCAACATCCAACCAATTGCACCATTTAGCCTTCATGTAGCATAAGTCCCAACAAATAATATTATTACGATTTTAGAAAATTAGTACCTAGTTTTACGGAGAGCCCACGGGTTGTCATGCAGTCGTGCCCATTTCTAACTTAAATTGTATAAATTGATTTATCTACAAAGTTAAGAAACAAATGTTTTCTTTATCCAAAACATGATGATGAACTATATTACGCCTCTCAACTTTCTCAACATCGGTAAGGTCACTCTACCATCCTCGAACCCACCTATTGAATTACATTGGGTTTGTTGTTGTAAACTATATTATATTTCCTCGTCTCAGAATTCCTAAGAGAAAAACAAAAAGGAGGAAAAATTACCATGGAAGTCATAAGTGCTTAAGATGGTACTCCATCGGTTTCCCCGTGTCAGAATTCATAAGAGAAAAACAAAAAGAAAAGGAAAAATTACCACAAAAGTCATAAGTGCTTAAGATGGTACTCCATCCGTTCACTTTTACTTGTCCACCTTGGATTTGCACAAAATTTAAGAAATAATGATTAATATGAGTATCTTCCCATATTGTTATATTAATTGATGTATTGTTTTAGGTCTGTGCAAATAATTTGGGGAATAAGTAATCAATTTTGAGGGTAAACCAAGAAAAAATCAATTGTCTTTTTCATAAATACTAAAACTGACAAGTAAAATCTATTTTTGGAATATTAGAAAAGTAAAACTGCACAAATGAGTAGATTCTAGTACTAGGAATGAAAACAAGAAAAGAAAAGGAAGTAGATAAATGTAAGAAGAAAAAGAGAAGCAAAAAGGGAAGG